TGTAGAGACACATTTCACCATATTGACCAGGCTGGTTTCAAACTCCTGCACTCAAGTCATCTGCCTGCTGCAGCCTCCCAAAATGCGGGGATTAGAGGTATGAGCCACCATGCCTAGCCATTTTGTTCACTTTTATTTTTAACAATACACAATCACTTGTTTTAGTGAGAATCTACTTCCACGTGTACGTACTGTCTATCGAGTTAACCATGTAGCTTCAATGTGTATACCATGAGCAGTCCTCCTAGTTAATATCTAACTTTATATAACATCTCAATTTCACATCTGCACCCTCCAAGTTTTGGGGTGGAGCAATATTTACAGCTGTACCTCCAGATTATTCACCATCTCTTGAATTTAGAAACAAAATGGCAACATTTCCAAAACTCTTATTTAAATGTTTTATTGATTATTTTCAGAAATCCTCTCGTGTTCATCTTATCCAGTAATACACTTATCAAAATTTTGTTTTGCTTTAGAAAACATACACCAAAAGCAGGTTTTATTTTGGAATTTCATTTGAATTTTAAGAATGACTAAGAATGCACCAGGGGTGTATTTTTTTATACTGGTTTTTATATAAATTTACCCCATTAATGAGAAGATCTATGTAAATCAGTATATCTCTATTTTGACTCCTTATGTCTGTCTTAGAATTTGTATCTGTTCTCTATATTACTTAACTGTTTTAAAGCTCCACTATTCTCTTTGTCTTAGCCTGCTGAATAAAATCTATACGTAATTGCTCTATTAAAATCATGGTTCCAGCGCTTCTTATATGCATAGGGTCAAGATATATAACAAAGCATTATACGTTTACAAAGGCATATCACTTGAATCTGGAATGTTAATGGGTTCTACATTTATTTTTAATCTAATAACTGAAATTAGAAATGTTACAATTCTTTCTAATTTGATTTCGAATTGAAATTCCAATGCTTTGGCTGATGTGAAGTGAGTTTGATAATTGAACAATTTCTTAAGAAAATAAGAATTAAATTTCTCATTTGAGAAGAAAAGAAAACAATCTTGATAATTTCTGTTTCTGTAGCAAAGTTTCTGATTTTCATACAAAATTAATAAACATATACAGTAATATTAATTTTTGAGCATGCTATAAATTTAATTAGGCATAATGTGCTTACTTTAATTTCATACTCTTTACTTTTAGTGCAAATAGTATTTTATTTGTTATGCTTGTGAGACAGTGTATATTTTTCCACTATATAGTTTGTTTCTAATTTTAAAAGCATGTTATAAAATATAAGATTAATTTTTCAATTGTACATTATCTTTCTATAATTTTAGTCTCTAGTCAATATATTTTTCAATCTAATTTTCATCCTAGGAACTAGTGTCTCTTCATGGAAATACTTCTTATTCATTGTAGTAAAGAAATTAAAAATCAAATGATAAACTTGGACATTTTTTGTATGGTACCATGGCATTCATTGCCTCTTGTCCCCTTTCTTTAGCTAGATTCTTTAAGTTTCATTCTTTTCAGGACAAAATGAATCTGGAACTTCCATAACTTCCTCAACGTAATAGTTAACAAATCATTAAATAGCATACTTCATTATACATGGTAAGGGCCGATATTCTGGATCATCCTGTCACGTGATTTTTAAAAATACTACTTTTAAAATGTACATATTAAGAGTGTTTTTTATGGTCAAGTATGATAAGTTTTTACTTCAATCATAAATAGAATTTATGTATTTTATTTATTTAAAATGATAAACCTGCTGGATTCATCTATGTACATTTATTTGCATAATTAAATAGTATATGTGAGTTAAATTGCCTAAGTTGTTTGTAGTTTATTAAAATACAGCATTGCAAATTTACCAAGTATCAACTACATTTTCTATAGACGGCATGATATATTAAATCTACATATGGGTATTTATTTAAGTGTTCTCTATTTCTTATTTTTTCGTTAGATAAATAGTTACAGCCATTTTATATTTAAATATGTTTTTCAGATTTATGATGTTTCCATCTGGATTTAATTGATTTGATATCTTGACCATTTTTGGTAAGATTTTAACCTTTTTTTTTCCTGAGACATAGGAACAGAACCCTAAACTAATTGGCTACAAATCTTAGGACCAATATGTTGGTGTTAGAAATGGTATCAATTAAGATAAAGGATTAAGTAAAGCACATAGAACAACAAAAATAAAAAATAAACATCTTAATGCAATGTTTTTGCCAAGTGATTAAAAATCTGCTAACAAGAAACGAATCGATAAGTTCAATTTTTGTGTGTGTGAGCCGATGTTGAGATAACCTTCCATTTGAGCAGTTAGAAGTACAGCTGAATCCTGTGGAGAAATTTTATGGGCTGAGAGCAACTCTCCATAGTAGATCCCATTCTTTCTTTACACGTGAATCCAGAGAACATTTGTTGGGCACCTATTTTGGGTTGGACAATGTGCTGAGTACTAAATTCACACTATCTTGTGCAATTCTTATACAACCCTGCTGAATTCATACTGTTATCCCATTTTATGAATTAGAAAACTGAGGTCAGAGAATAATCACTCAATTTCACTAAGCAGTGAGTGGTGGAGGCAGAGTTCCAGGTGGACCTGACTCCAACACCCGGGCTCTTTCATAAGAGTCAACATCTCTTGTGACCATCAGAGATGAATATGTGTCCACTTTATGGAGTCTATCACAAACTTACCTGTCATAATACATTTTGTCTCAGGGTCAAACATTTTAATGGTATCATTTCATACAATATATATGAGCACTTTATAGAAGTCCATATATGCACAAAGGCAAATCCTATTATGATATTTGTGCAATGTTATCTGTGTTCTCTTTTAGTATGAGCATTTGTTTTAAAGTCTCTCCTGAGATTTCTACATCAAATCCCCATCTAATTCCTCTCTTTTCTAAACATTATTACATTATTCCAATGCAATCATTTCTTGCCTTCCCTCTATTACCTTGGAAATATTGTATTCTTCTGATATTTACCTGTGACAGCAAGGGTTGTTCCACTGCCGAAGAGTTTCTTATAATAATTCCACAATGATTCAGTCCATATCAAAAACTCTAATTCAGTTTCCCTGAGTTCTTCAAATTCTGGTGGTCTGGGATTCTCAAAAGACCAGGGTTCCAGTGCTGGTTAATTTTGCTCATAACAAGCTTTGTTGCTTCACAAATCAAATAACTTAAAGCTTTTGGTGTTTTATTTATCTAAAAACAGTGATGTTAGTGGAAATCAGTTCAACATCACTACCAGCACTGAAGTGAGACCAAAATGAAACAAGATATAAAAAAGCAATTTGATTAAAATGTTATAGATCCCAGTGCAGTGGCTCATGCCTATAATCCCAGCACTTTGGGAGGCTGAGGTGGGAGGATTGCTTGAGCTCAGAACTTCGAGGCCAGCCTGGGCAACATAGTACCTAGTGAGACTCCATCTTTACTAAAAATAAAAAAAAGCATTAGCAGAGCATGATGTGCATGCCTGCAGGCCCAGCTACTCAAGAGGCTGAGGCAGGAGGGTTACTTGAGCCTAGGAGCTTGAGGCTGCAGTGAGCCTTGATCACACCACTGCACACCCACCTGGGCAATAGGGGAAGACCCTGTCTCAAAAAAAAGTGCTATGGAAATATAAGAGGTTATGATGATGATGTCATCATCATTGTTATGATTAGCAATCTGTTTGCTATGATTGTGTGCCTTGACATGACATTTTAACCCTATAGGACCAAGCATTGCCTTTACTAAAAAAAAAATTCAGTGTTTTGGAGTGTGGCGGTTAAATCTGTAGCAATTAAGCAGGAAGAATCACTTCTTTCTCAGTTCCTCTGTTTGCATTCCACTTTGCTCTGACATGCCTGGGATTCTGAAAGCCATTGTCCCCATCATCACAAGAAACATGCCTTCCACACGCCCAATCTTTAATAGGCTATCATTTGCCTTACCTGCCATGTTAAGAAAATCAAAGGGAACATTGGCTAAAGTCTAATATACGCAGTCAGTGTATGGAAATTCTTCACTTTTGTTTTTCGAAACAAGTGAGGCTTTTTCTAATCAGCAGCACAATTTATTTGCCTTCCAAGTTTCACCAGAAACTTCAACCTCAAACTGACTTCTGTCTAGTTCATGCCAAAGTCCAGCTTAAAACACCTGGCTTGACCCTTCAAGGCAGAATGGCTAGAGAAATGGCAGGAGGCCTGGTCCTCAAATCCATCTTTCTGTCATCACTTTAGATCACTACATGTCATCTGCCTGACCGTGTCTGCTGGGCATCACCATCTGTGCATGTCATTAAATGTCAGGCTGCCCATAGCACTGATGCAGTGGTAATATGCAATGGGTTTGTTTCATGACCATTCCTTTCATTTTCCAAAATGGAATTTGAAGGCAATGGCCCACTCTTCCATTTCCTTCTAGAGGACTCATGCATTGAAGTCCTTTTCTAATTTAGTAATAGAAAAAAATACGATATTTGAAAAGTTGATGTGCTTCTTTTTATCAGTTAGTAAGAAGTATGTATTCCCCTACCTTTTTCTCCTTCCTTTGATCATAAAATTTTAACCTGTGCTCCTTGCTAGGTAATCACAGGCCTTTTCCCTTCTTTCCTTAGAGCTTTAGATCATCTGCATTAATTTAATGGTCTGACTGTGCTTGTGTGTTTTAACTTAGGTCTTCTCAAATAGATTTTGGAACAGGTAGCTTAAATAAATAACAAATAGTTTGTGCATTCAGCATGTTTCTCTTTTGTCCTCAGGAGTAGATTGTTTTGTAAGGTCAAGCTCAAATAAAACACAAGGAATGGAGAACACATTTGCAAATCCTAGCTCTGTGATAGGGATACCTACATACTAAATTTAGATAGACGGGAAGTGCCAGACCATAAAATGAGGCTTTCTTTCCCAAAATTTTCTCTCACAACATGGGGAGGTGCCTTGTGTATGGTACGGTCTTTGTGTAACGTCTCATATTAAAAAATGTTCTTCTAATACTCTGCTTTGATCCAGAAGGACGAACTGGACGAGATATCACATGAAATGAATTCAGTGAATGCTAGCTTTGGCAATGGTAAAAGGAAATAAAAGCAAAGAAATTTATCATGGATTTGGTCATTATTACTTGGGGCGAAAGTCCCTGTAGTTTTTACTTACTTCATACAAATGTAGAATAACAGAATAAATCGGAAAAAATAATTTCCTTTCATTTTGTGAGTGGATAATTGTTTCTTAGAATAAAATATTCAGGGACACCATCGTAAGGGGAGTCCACAGTGGAGACTGAGACCTGAGATGCCTTAGAAAGTTGCTCTAAAGTAGTTGCTTTAGATGCATGTGAAGCATCAAAACAAAATATTTAATGAAATATAAGGGCCACAAAGCCAATATTTCTCAACTGTAGGTATAATCCAGTTAGGAAATTAAATGTTGTAAGTAGACATTTGACTGTTTTACCTGTATCCCTATAAATTTACATATTCAAGTTGGGGGAGGGGAAAATACATATTTTATTAAAGTTGTATAAATTTTCTCTGGAAAATGGAAAATCACCTTGTATTCAGGCACATCATATTTGAGATAATACATAAAACATTCTAATTTCTTTTAGAAGCAGGTACAATTTGTCTTTTAGAAATAGAAAGCATTTTACAAATAGTGGTATTTGTTCTGAAGTGAGCTATTGAATAGATGGGGGTTGATACATTTGTCTGTATTCCTGAGTGTATAAAGACCTCTCATGGGTAGTAACTTGAATTCTGGAAGAGGAATTAATATTTCTATCACCTACCAAGTGCCAGGCATTCTGGTGGGTAATTTCCATATTTAATTTCATGTAATATATACAACATTTCCTTGAGATACATAATCTCCATTACCTTCATTGTACAGATCAACTTGAAATTGGAACTTTCAACTTTGCTCTGTTATTGCAAAATATTAAGGACATTTGAAAAGAATGTTTATGAAGTAGTGAGAAGTGAAAAAGCCAGATCTATTATTGTGTGTCTAGTATGATTCCAACTTTGTAAAGCAAACAAACAAAAGGCATGGGAAAAAGGTTGAAATAAACGTATAACAAAATGATAATGTGATGAGGATCGATATCATACTTAAATGCTTTGTTTATTTTTGTGTGTTTTCGAATTTTTCTATAATGAACCAGCATTTTTATAATTTGAATACTTGGTGAATCAAAATACACTTCCTAAAGGGCAGTTACATAGAAAGCGGCAGCCCCAGGAGTCATCGAGAAATAAAGTCCATACCTTTTCCTGCACCGCACTTTCCTGAAAAATCACTTCTCAGAAAACTACAAATTATGACTTTGATTGCTACCATTCACATTAAGTCAACTGGATGAAAGAGAATCAGAAGGTCACTTTTTAACTTATAAGTTAATTTCATCATACGATCTCAACCACTAAGGAAACAAAAATATATAATTGCTTTTACTTTTCTCAATGCTGTATCAACTTTGTGAAAATTCTCTGAAAACTTTCATTTCAGTGGATGTAATAGACTAAGAGTATCTTTGTAAGATGTTTCCTCTCATCCAGGCAAAATTACATCTGAAGCTAACACATAATAAATGAACTTATTGGACTGATTTATAAAAAACAATAAATGCAGCTTATGTCACTTTTGAGTATGGTCACACTGTGAAATATTTCGACATTTGATATTAATCATGCTTCGGTCAAATTATCAAATATTTCACCTTCTGGTGACCAAATGAGGAGGGTAGCTGATTTTTTTTTTTTTTAACTTTTTTCCATTGGTTATTTTTAGAATTGAAGAAACAAAATCTCTGAACTAAACTTCTTCACAAAACTTTCAACAGAGAGATACCAGTGGAACATAAGGCCTCCGTCCTTTAGAGATTTGCAGTTGGTCTAAGCTCCTTAGTAATGTCTCCCATGCTAGGGCTGGAAAAGTTCTGACTCCCATGGCATGAACCAAGTCACCTGACCTCTCTGTAGATTTCACCATGATTAGTGACCAAACCAGGAGGGAATCCTAGAA